CTGGCATGAGAGTATGAAAACCCTAACCAGGAGACTAGGTCACATAGGCCCCGTTAGGCTCCCTGGCTGGGGACCTCGGGATGATGGTCACCGATGGTCAGAGACACTGAGTGATATGGTTGGGTGTCGCAAACAGTGGCGCTCGTGCATCCACTCATTATTCCCCTATCACTATTCTATATGAATTTCCCACCTTCCGCTTGAATTTGCTCTCGACATTCCAATCTTCATTCTGCTCTTTTATCCAAATGGGCACCAAAAGACAGCAACCAAAATCGGCGCACGAAGGTGCATGGTTAATGGTTGTAAAAACTTAAACTGTTGACCTATACGTGGTTTCCTCCAACCCGGAGTGGCTACAGCGAATAAAGCGCGGTGCGACGGACGATGGCTGGAAAAACGCCATACGTGCCCTAGCCAGCGAAGTCTACCAAGCTGAATTCGGTGTGCTAGCAGGTTAATACCAGATGGACTCCCAAACACACGACGGTTTACCTCCACATTACTAACCCGTTCGCTCCACCCAACGTGGGTTGAACTGCGTAAACACCCATAATCGAAAACCTCTAATCGATGGATATCTTCTACTCGCAAATTCAAGGTCTCACAACCATAAAGCAGAACTGAACGAACACTAGTGCAATATACACGACCTTTCAACTTCAGTGAAACGTCGCATCTACACCAAAAGCGTTTCAGTCCTGCATATGCTGCTCGAGCCTTGGAAATGCGGGCGGTTATTTTTGATGCGATACCGTCATTGGTCACGTAGCTACCTAAGTAGGGAGAGTAATCCACCGTAACTAATTCCTGGTCATTTAGTTACAGAGCGGAAGTAGGCGGCATCACTTTGCACATACCGAATGTGGCAGTTGCACTTGTTAGTCTATCAAGCGTGGTTTGGGTTTCCTCCATATATTCGAACAGATAGACGGTGCCATCGGCGTATTCTAAATTGCACAGCTTTTCTCCACCTGCCCATTCAATACCTACGTATCGGAGACCACTAAGTGCGTTCTTCAGTATTTCGTCTACGACGAAATTGAACTGGAACGGCGATAGAGGGCACTCGTGACAAACACCGCTGCTAGTAACGAATGGCCTACTCAGTTCATTATAGACCCTTACACGACCAGAGGTATGTAAGTACAGTGACCCATCTTGTGCTTTATCACTTGGTTTGTGTACATCGTGAGCTTGGCTGCGATCAGTGAAGGTCGCTTCACTGTAGCTCGCTGTACGATGATGATGATGTTATAAGAAGAAAGAAGTTTTATGATCTATCTGTGGGCGCGATACTGCTAGGTAGCCCGCGCCAAGGAAGGGGAATTCACAACCCGCAAGGTAGCGGACAGTGTGTGAAAATCGCAATCCATTGGCGGCGGTGTCCAGCTCAGCAGATTATACGCCCTTAGGACAGGGTCAAACGTCCAAGGTGCCCAATGTGGCCGATGACGACCGCCACAACCGGGTGTTTCGTATGGCTCCTCTTAGTGGGTTTGAAATCATCATTGAAACCATCACTGAACAACAGGTCCTCGTGACTATGGGGCTTTCCCCGTCATCATATGAAAGTGCGTAGTGAAAATGAAAGATTTTCAGCCAACTCCCTTAGGTGAACTGCCAGTGGTTCACTAACCTGATTGGAGCACTGGATGCTGGCTTTCCGTCTTTTTCATTAGATGGTAAAACACTACCGTAAGAAGGCAGTGAGTAGGGCTTCCTCAACAGAGGCTGTTTGAGACGCTTGGTAGTATAAACGCATTACGCGAGGTGCAGGGTAGGGGGAACATCCACAAACGAAGACCCCACCATAACCATACTGAGGCTTTCGGACCTGAGATTTGATGACCTGTTCCGTATATGTGTTAGGGAGGGCATAGCCTAACTCTGCAGAGGAATCACTCTAGACTGCAACCGAGGGCAACCGTTTTTATTAACGGGGCGATACTGTTGTGGACAGATGATGTGGAAGCGAGGCATGAAGAAATGCACAGAGCGATTAGGTAGAATCG